GACATTTTACAAAATAGAAGTGAGACAGGGATAGTGAGCAACTGAAAATAACTCACTGGTAAAGTTCTAAAAACTATTTTTCATATATTTTTATGGTCCAATAAAAACAAGAATGATATTTATATTTTATGTCAGCTCCCTATCTTAACCTTGATTAGTCATATTATTTTAATCACAAATGGAATATAACTAAATTAGTTAAATAAATATCCCCATCTTCATTGTCTGCCTTATGAAAAGCTTATTAGCTTTTTATTATCAGAGCATGACTGTCAGTAAATTATACACTAACACAAAGTTAAATCCTATACATCTTTGTTGGGGACAAACCAGGAAGAACTTTGGCATTTAGTGAAATGGTTTAATCAAATGTCTTTTATTGTGAATATATTTTTTCAATAATAATTTTATTTAGAGTATAGTAAAAAGTACTTTCAAGTATCCTACTCCTCCAGCCCAAAGTATCACTTCTAAACATGTGTGCATTGTCAAATCCACACATTTCTTGAACTGGCATCATTTATTCAATACATGTTGGTTAAGCACTTTTTCTGTGTATGTTTGTTAAATACTTTCTTTGTGCCAATCACTGTTCAAAGTGTTGGAGATACAGGAATTTAAAAAAAATAATAAAATCCCAGATTTTCTGAAGTTGGCATACCAGGAGCAGGGCAAATAATAAACAAAATGAAAAAGGAAAAATAAACAGTGTGTTAGAGGGTATTAAGTAGTAGCAAAGAAATAGAACAGGAAAGGGTAATAGAGAATACTGGCAGATTTTACAATTTAAAAAAAGTAGTTAATAAAAGCCCCCAAAGAAACAGTGACAATTAACTAGATCTAAAGAAGACACTGTCTAATTTTATGTAGGAAATGATAGTAGCTGACACGGTATAACAGGCTAGTCCTAGTTGCTATGTAAGCAATACATTGAAGGTGCTAAGAACAGAAGTGGAGGAAAGATTTAAGAGTGCCAGCAGTAGAGGTGGTAAAAATTTGTCACTTTGGATATATTTGAAGGTATCACTGAGAAGATGGATTGCGTGTGGGGGGAGTGAGATTAAGATAAGAGTTATGATGTCTCTTAAGTGTTTGGCTTGAGGTATTTGAAGGATGTAGTTGCCACTTATTGACTTGGGAAACTCTGTGATAAAATCTGGGGGTGAGGCCAAGTGCTCAGTTTCAGATACACTGTGTTTGAGATGCCTAGCAAACACCGGTATGCATGGATAGGTAGTACATAAATAGATACACAGATAGATGCACAGGTAAATACATACACAGTGGCATGCATAGATGTCTACATACGTGAATAAATGAATTTTCAGTTCAGGAGAAAAGGAGAAGCTGCAGTTACATATTTATAAGTCATCAATAGATAATATTCAAAGCTATTGGACACAATAAGATGAATTAGTAAAGATGGGGAGAAGTTTGGATGACCGAGTTCATGACAATCCATAATCCATTAAGTCAGATGACAAAGCAGCAGCAAGAGGAAAGGGAGAAGCAATGAAGTAAATTTTTAAAAATATGTGTCTATGATCCTGAAACTCACACAGGAAAAGTGTTTTAAGAAGGAGGACATGCTTATCAGTAGCAAATGTTGCTGACACACTAAAATAAAGTGTGAGTAATAACGTTTGGATTTAGCAAAGAACTTAGCACTGACTCACTGGTGATCTTGGCAAGTTCAAACTCTGAGAAGCTATGGAAGTAAATCCTTGAATGGAGTAGCTTTAGGATAGAATGAGAAGAGAGAAATGTGGGTAGACAATATGAACAGGATGAAAGTAATCAGAGAAATGGGCAGAAGGTGGAGAAGATATTGAAGGCAAAACGTTTTGGTTTGTTTCTTTGGTGTGCATGTGTGTGTGTGTGTGTGTGTGTGTGTGTTATGTGTATGACATTAAGTAAAAGAACCTGATTCAGTATATATTCTTTGACCCCAAGAATTCTCTCAATGCTTTGTTTCATGAATATCCTTAGTAGATACTTTGTCAATTTTGAATTTTAAATTAAAGTATCTAGATATAAACTAAATTTCTACTAGAGTTCAGCATATATTACTAAAATACACACATTCCACTCAAGGTCTTTGAATATTTATATCTAATCTAAACATTATAACAATTCATGTCAATGGGCAATTACCAAGAGGTCAAATTTAAAGTCTGTGCCAGTATCACAATGCTCATCACTTATTTTTTCTTGAATATTTATGCACATTAATTTTATCTCTCCAAATGATTATTAAAATTAATAAAAATATAGCTTATCCCATATTATGTTCAAGGCATCATGCTAAGCATGTTACATATATTATTCCTATTTTTCAGTCTAAGCCTACAAAAATATGTTTTATTAACCTATTTTCTAAATAACATGGTGGTGATCAGCAATTCAGCAACTTCCCTGAGCCTTGATAAATATGATTGAGGCAGCAGGGATTTGGCCCGGATATACTTAGTTCCAAAATACATGACCTTTAACTTTTACTACTTTTCAACACAGTGCTTTCTGAAAGACCGGGACTCAGTCATAAACAACACTTATTTAGAATACTGAGTAGAGCCAAGAACAGTTTAAGGCACTTAAGATGACCTTACTGCTAATGTAGCTGTTACTTTGTCCAAGAAAAACAGTATCTTGAACAACAAACAAAAATCAACCTTTCTCGTGTTTACAAATTTGAACTTTTAAGAGTCATGGGGCAAAAAAGATGTACATTAATCCAGATCTTGTTCTTTTAAATGTCTTGCATTATTGAGACAATTTATCAAATTATAAACAAAAATGAGAGAAAACAAAATCCACTTCTCCTGACAAGTCAAACACTCCTATATTGTGAGTTGCACATCAGACAGTATCATTGTGCAATAAAGGCGGTGTGTAATCCAGAAGTAATCCCCTCGTTGGCCTACTGAGTTTCCCCAAAGGTTTGCCACTGGAGATCCAATTACCGGAACTATTCAAATACAGGCAAAATTTCTGAACCAAAATTCCTAAGCCAAATCCTTATCTCTATCTAAAAAAAAAAAAATGCTGGCTCTCTGCCAGCTTATTTTATTTAATGTATGTATGTCTGTATGTGTTTTTGCAATAAATAAATGAAAATGTAAAACTCCATGTTTTACCTTCAGATACAATCTCAATATCAAAATTTAAATTTATGGGAAAAATAGTTTGCAGTCCTTTAGCAGGTTCTCATTACTTTAAGGTAGATTTTGCATCAAAGTTTAGACACATATCAGAAAGGACACAAAAACCAGTCTCATTTTAGAATCTTTGGGAATCCTTGACCAATTTAACATCCATTTCATTCATTATCTTTTTTCCTTTCATTTAATAAATGATAATAATAAACACATTTTTATTTTTATAAAATAATATTTTATATTATGCATTTTATATACTTATATTTATATATTTATATGTATCATACTTAATATTTATATATGATATATACTATTAAAATATATACTATATAAAATATATACTATGCATTTTAGTATATGATATATTATATAAAATATATTATATATAACATGCACTATATATAATATATTAAATATATTTCTATATAATATGATGTAATGTACATTATGTTATACATAAAAATATAAAATATAAAAATAATAAATATAAAAAATAAAAATAAAAATGAAATGGAATAATAAAATGATAAAAATATATTATTGTATTTTTCTTAAGAGTTTTAAATTTTCAAGAGTGACATAATGCAAACATTAGCAATTTGGATAATTGTTTCAGTTTGTTTTCTTATTCATGTATGATATTTAAAACCCCAAAATTTTATTGAGATATTAAAATACAAATATTGTAGCATGCATGAAATTCATGTGGTATTAGCAATACATATTCATTATTTATATATGATTCTAGTGGTTCTATAGAAAAAGAATGTGATTTAGAATTGCATGGAAATAATTCTGAATCTCTTGCATTCCACTTATGACCTGTATGAACTTGTAACAGTTATTTTTTATTTCCATCTATAAATAAGTTAGTGTCACCCAACAAACAGGTTAGCTATAGTGTCATAACTACTAAGTTAGAAAATACATATGATCTTCTGCAATTAAAAGCAGTAAACACTTTTGTCTCTTGCCTTCTTATCTAGAATTATAGGCTGAGTATAGTTAAAAGAAATCAGTGACTGGATTTTATTTTTAGAAGAATAACAAAAAACTTATCTAGCATGTCTTTAAAGAAAAATAAATGAAGATACATTGTTTTTAAAAATACCAATCTTTCACAATAAATTAAACTACCAATGACTTTTCAAACTTATGAAAAACTGAAAATGTTGTAGATATTATATACACATATGTATATCCATGATGTACATATATATTTGTGTTAATTTTCTAACCTAGGAAGCATGTATTTTATCTTGCCTGAGTGACAGATTTGTGATATGAATATAAAAGTGTAACATATTAAGCAAGACTATTTTTTTAGGAGCTTAAGCACTTTGAAATAAGTAAACTTTTCATAAAAAGTGAGATGTTCATTTTTCAAGACAATTAACTCCAAATAATTTTTAAATGACTAAATTTTATCGTATATGCTAAATATTTTTAGTAAATTTAGCACCTTTTGCTTGTTATTTTCTATGAGCACTAATAAAACTCTATGATAATTTGAATATGTAATTAAGTACATGAAGAAAATAACCTAGAGAAATTTTGTTATGATGCTGAGAAGTTGAGTATTGAAAATTTTACCTCTGGACAATGGTCAGTGTTAACAAGAAAAACCAGAACCTAATAATTATTTGCTACCATTTAAACTGACTGTGAAAGACACAATAAATATCTTCTACTGGAACGATATATGAAGTATCTATCTTACCACCCATAAAAGTGACATTAAAAGCCAGGAATATATTTTGAGAAAAACTTCTCAGCATTAAATTAACTGGTCAGCAATCTTTGGGGCAGACAAGAGAAATTCAATGAATGAATATCACTTACCTTATCCACAATACATATCTGCTTTCTTGTTTGAGCATCAAGTATTTCAATCTCAAAGTGCACAGTTTTTGAATGTTTAGATACTGGAGCTGATTTTAGAGGGCCTGCTGAGAGCACAAGTTGCGACAAACAGTGAAAGTTTCTCAAGTCATTCCTCATCATGGACCGGGTAATTCCTTGGGAAAATATTTCTCTCTTGCGTTCCGAAGTAAGGGACCTGTGCCTTTTGAACATTGTGTGAACTAGAAGGAGAATCTGTCATGTCAACAGAAGACACTTGCAAGTGTGATGCCTTGCACCAGTTTAAATACTGCTGGTGAAACCAGGAAAGGTCAAGTGCTTTGCCTTTCCAAGAGTTCAGTTTTATTTAGCCGGCTTGAAAACAATGACTGATCTATTTCTATATATAACGCGCTATTGTAAATTGCGGCAGCGTAGAGGATTACTTTACCAGCATTCCAATTATTTCTTACTTTCTCCTTTTATCTCTGCTTCTTAATATGGTCACTACTATCTGAAATCCCAAAGCAAGAAACGAGTGGAAAGAGTTTCTATTATCTTTGAATTCTGTATGCACTAATCTTCAAGTACATATATTATTATTCACACATTCACATTTAGATGTATTTAAAATTAGCAAAGGACTATCTTTTAGATAAATTTAAAAACATCTATTGCATAACTACATAGCAATTTTTTTATAAATGCTGCCTAAGATAAAGATTTGTGGCACGTTTTAAATACATATACATAAATGCAAATATATAAATATATTTAATATAGAAATATCAAACATGTTATATATAATATAACGTAATGTAAGTAATATATATTATATATACAAATGTGTGTGTGTATATATATATATATATGGTACAAATGGATGAATTCTTCACTTTATACAGGGAATAGAAAGATGGCAAGTCATCCATGAGATTAGAATATGTCGAAAGCCGTTTTATAACTTGAGGAAAAAGAAGTAAATTTCATTTGAACCTTTCTACACATTATATATTATTGGCAAATCTCTGAATTTATATACAAAATTAGTACTAAACACCACATGTACCACAACAGTAAACTATGGCAAATTGAAAAATCAAAATGAACAACAAAAAATGTTAAATAAGCTGGAGAGATTTGTATAAAATACTCCAGGTACTCAGATACCAGTGTATTTGATGGACGCCTGGGTGGCTCAATCAGTTAAGCATCTGCCTTCAGCTTGGGTCATGATCCCAGGGTCCTGGAATGGAGTCCCCCATCATCCTCCTTTCTGGGGAGTCTGCTTCTCCCTCTGCCTGCAGCTCTCCCTGCTTAAGCTCTCTCTGTCAAATAAATAAGTAAATTTTTAAAAAGAAAAAAAAAAAAAGAAACACTGAAAAGTATTCAAAACATATTGTCACTGATTCAAAGGGATATTACAGGAAAGTCTTCTGAGATGTCATTTTTAATGATGACATGAAAAGCAAAATGGTTAAAATTATAGAAAGTTGTGGGGTTCCTGGGTGGCTCAGGTCATTAAGTGACTGAGTTGAGTTCAGCTCAGGTCTTTATCTCAGGGTGATGAGTTCAAACTCCATATTGTGGGGCCTACTTAAAATAATAATAATAATAATAATAGAATGGTGAATCTATACAGCTATGAGACAAATATTTACTTTTATCATTTAACAATCTAACGTATTGATTTTTTTCTAACGTATTGATTTTTAATTTTGACCAAACATTATGCAATAGAGAGCCACTTACACGGGGTTCAGTTATCATTTTCGTCCTCTAGACAACCATTATACTCAATACTTAATCTTTTGATAACATAGAAGACAGGGATATATATATCTGTGTGTGTTTGCATGTCCATGTAATTACACACACATTCGCACGCACATGTATTGTGCAATTTCATCACCCCAGTTAAACAGAACTCAAATTTGGAATCATCCTTAACATCTCCCTTTCTCCCACACCTCAGTTCTAATCCATCAGAAATCCAGAACCCAGGGTGCCTAGGTGGCTCTGATGGTTAAGCATCTGCCTTCAGCTCAGGTCGTGATGCCAGGATGCTGGGATCGAGTCCCACATGCCAAGCAGGGAACCTGCTTCTCCCTCTGCCTCTGCCTCTCTCTCTGTCTCTCATGAATAAATAAATAAAATCTTAAAAAAAAAAAAAAAAAGGAAATCCAGAACACAGCCTTTTCACCACCCCATGCTACCTTCAAACACCAATCGCATCTGTATTGCTTTGCCAAACTAGTCTCCCTGTGTCAACACTGGCCAATCTAGAACCACTTTATTTTTTTTTAAAGATTTTGTTTATTTATTTGACAGAGATCACAAGTAAGTAGACAGAGAGACAGGCAGAAAGAGAGGGGGAAGCAGGCCCCCTGCTAAGCAGAGAGCCCAATGCGGGGCTCAATCCCAGGACCCTGAGGTCATGAACTGAGTCAAAGGAAGATGTTTAACCCTCTGAGCCACCCAGGTGCCCCCAGAATCACTTTAATACAGCAGCTAGACTGATCAGGGTCTATGCTAAAGCAGATAATGCAATAATCTGCTCAGCACACAGCAGAGTCTTCCTTTTTAATGGAACAACAACAAAAAAAATATAAAGTTCTTTGCAAATGTCTACAAGGTCTGCATCATCAGTACCTTGTTATATCATTGATCTCATCCCTTAAACCATCTACAGTGCCTACAATAGTGTCTGGCACACAGTAGGTGCCCAATAAACATATACATTTACAAACAGTCAGTAAGTGTATCTTGGAGTTGTAGGCAGAATGGTGTGATGTTAACAGAATGCCCAGATAAACTATTGTCTAATATTAAGATGACATAAAAACAACCTGTATGTCTCCTCAAATACAGTTTCTGTTTTTAAAAAAGAATAGTCTAAAGGACAAATTGAAAGATCTCCCATTGACAAAGCTGGAATAATTCAAGTAAGAAAATAAATATTGATGGTAATGTAATCTAACTCAAAGAATATTAGAAATATCCATGAGTCTATATTTGTATGAATAAATTATTAAAAATAATAAATAAATAAATAGGGATAAGGGATAATTTTCCTTACCCAACAATTACAAATAATGTATGCGGATACTTTCCTCCTGAGTGTGGGTTTCACTTACAGACACACTTGCAAAAAATAATAAATGGAAGGGAAAATGGAAACTTTATAGAGGAGAAAACTAGCAGGCAGGCAGCATTTCAACTGAGAAGTCAAGTTGAATATCACCATGCAGAGTTATGTTGGTTTCATGTACACCCACTAATGTCATAAGATAAAGATGCTTCCCCCTTTATTCTTCTAAAATTCACTTTCTCATTATAACCATGAGAAGACATGAGACAAACACAAATTGAGAGACAATACTTAAATCTTCAAAACTGTCAAACACTTGAAAAATAAGGAAAAATTGAGAAACCATAACAGATCAAAAAAGAATACATGGTAACATGACTAAAAAAATGCCATGTCATTGAAATTGTTTTCTGGAACAGAAAAAGAAATTAGGAAAAATGGTTAAAAGAGAATAACATTTGTAGTTTATGTGATAGTGTTGTGCCAATGCTAATTTCTGAACTTTGATAAAATACCATGGTTGTACAAGATGTTAAAATTAGGGGAAGCTGGATAAAAAGTACACAAAAAGCCCTCCTTACCTCCTTTACAATGTTTTTGTAGAAATATTCCAAAATATAAAGCATGAAATAAACACACATCATCACCAACATGTAAAATAAGGAATGGAGAAAGAGAAACAATGGAAATGAAAGACATCTTAATGAGTGAACGGTGCCAAATCGCTCAAATAAAAAATATGGGGAGAGAACAAAAAATTTGTTCAGATATTATGCTATTCCTTATCACATTATGTATTTTTGAAGTAGTTTTAAAAATAAAATGTTTTATATTTGCTAAGTTGTGCTTATAAGATTATTGCTAAATAGATCCTAATGAAATAACACCCCTAATTAATATTTGTTTAATATTAGACCTGGGATGAACCTTGGTAAAATAGATTCCAATTTAAAATATGTTTAAAATAGAAAAAGTTGGGGCACCTTTGTGAATTAGTCAGTTAATCATCTGCCTTAGGCTCAAGTCATGATCCTGGGGTTCTGGGATTGAGCCTCATGTTGGGCTCCCTGCTCAGCAGGAAGTCTGCTTTCCCTCTCCCTCTCCTTCTGCCCCTCTCCCTGCTCATGAGCTCTTTCTCTCTCAAATAAATAAATAAACAAAATCTTTTTTAAAAGTAGAAAAATTTACAAAAAGATGAAGTGTCAAATAGGAGTCTTTATTCTAATTGGATTTATTTATATTGAAGTTTGAAGGAAAGGGGTTAAGATATTGTTCTTTTTTTTTTTAAGATTTTTTATTTTTTATTTGAGAGAGACATAGAATGAGAGAGAGAGAGCACAAGCAGGTGGGAGGGGCAGAGGAAGAGGGAGAAACAGATTCCCAGCTAAGCAAGGAGCCCAATCCCGTGACCCCAGGATCATGACTAGAGCTGCATGGAGACTTAACCAACTGAGACACCCATATGCCCCAAGATATTATTGTTCTTTACCTTCACAGTTTTCATTTACTTTTGACAGAAAGTTATTCATTTCAGCTCATTTTCCATTTGAAGTATCATTTCCTCTTAGGTTATTCAAAATAATTAATAGATTTATTTTTAAAGCAGTTCTAGTTTACAGAAGAGAAATACATAATTGAATGTACAGCATTTCCACATACTCCCTTTTTCCCCCACAACCTAAATCTTCAATTAGTAACATCTTGTATTAATGTGAAATTTTTGTTAAAACTGAACTAATAATGACAGATATTTATTAATTAAAATCCGCAGTTTGTTTTAGAGATTAGTCTGTAAAATAGTTAAGTTTTTGTTTTGTTTTGTTTTGTTTTGCAACTACTACATTTATTATGGTGCAAAGTTTGAAGATGGTGGTTTTTCTTTTTTCATTGTATTTTATTTGATTTCTTTTCAGTGTTCCAAAATTCATTGTTTATGCACCACACCCAGTGCTCCATGCAGTACATGCCTTCCTTAATACCCACCACCAGGCTCACCCAACCCCCCACTCCCCTCCTCTCCAAAATCCTCAGTGTGTTCTTTAAATTTTTGTAAAAAAATAAAAAGTCATGTATCCACCTTGACAGTATCATGCATAATAGTTTCACTGACCTGAAAATACCTTGTACTCCAACTTCCCACAGTTACCCCACTCTAAACCCCTGGTAATGACTGATCTTCTTGCTGTCTTCAAATTCACTT